GCAGCTGACCAGACCATTTTTCATTTTCCATTCACACAATATAGCATAACCCATCTTTGCGAGCTTGTTGCGGGCTACAGACCCTGATCATCTCAGCACTAGACCCCGGGGTCTGATCTTTTCACAAACCAGTTGCTTTTGAGAGATTCGAACCCACAAATGGATTATGTCTACAACTGCGCACTCTAATAACAATGCTTTGAAGTCACATTAATATCTTTGGTCTTTTCCCATTCGGTCCCTTATAGCAGACTTGCATTTAACAATAAATTTAATCGCCATCAAAGCTCTTCCTGAGTCTAGTGAATAATCCTTTGTACTCAACCAATCGTTTAAGTTTATTTGTCGTTTTTGGATTTTAAGATGTTTAAAACTATTGAATTATTGAATCGGATGTCTCAGTTTGATGAGAACTGATCCTTGAATATCGCCTAGTATAATGAAAACTACTGGCTTAGCTGATACAAAGAGGTAGGCAGTTTATGTGTGGTATTCTTATCTCCTCAAGACACCTGGTCTATCCATGATTCAATTCTAATTTTGTTTTGTGTTATTGATTTCTACAGCATCATTGGATTTGTTTTGTGATTACCGATAATTTAGGAGTGGGGTTTGCGGGCGAGATGGAGTACAGATCACATGAATTCCACGAACTGTGTGATCTGGCTGATGCAAACTATGACAAATTCGATAAGAACATCCAAAAAATCGTTGATTGATGTAGAAGTACCCGATAACGACTTTCGACAAAACCGAATTATAAGGTCCAACTTTGAAAGTATTATCAAACCTTATTCCCCCTCAACGCTTAACTCTCAAATATTCCTTTGAACTGCGATAACTGATGTTGAACTATTTCATGAACATGGTTAAAAACGTGACTCACACACCTTGGTAGGATCAACACAATGCCTGATTTGACTTGACAATGATCCTTTTTGATTCTGATCATCTTTAGAAGGTTTGTCTTCTTCACCAGAGCGGCACCATCTGAGGTTAACGGATACAGCTGCGGGTCCCCGATGAAAATATCACTAACCGTACGTAATCTCGTAGGTACCGTAGCATTAAAATTTGTGCCTTTATTAGTGATTTGCATGTTACGAGGCTCTCGAACAATAATCCATGCGATTGGTTTTAGTTAAGTGCTTATAATCGCTCACGGTTCGCCCCATATCCCGATTTTGACCCTAAATGCGTATTACTTTTC